TTCGATGTTGGGTGGGTTCAGTGGGGCTGGTCGATTCAAGAGTTCTTTGAAGTGTTCTACCCACCTGTCTTGTTGCTCTTAAACGTTGGTGATTACCTTGCCTTCTTTGCTTTTCACTGGTAGTTCTGGTTTGTGGCGATTTCCAGATAGTTTCTTTGTCGTGTCATACAATTGTCTCATGTTTCCTTCTCTTGCAGCCTTTTCCGCCGTCGTTGCTAAATCTTCCACATATTTACGTTTGTCGGTTCTGATGCTCCTCTTCACTTGTTTGTTTATTTCCGTGTATTCAGCTTGTGCCTTGGCTTTTTCTGCTCTTGTTCGGCTGGTATTGATCGCTGCCTTCTTGTTCCTCCTTTCTAGAATCTTATCCAGTGTACCAACAGTGATCCATTCCTTGTGGTGGTGCTTCTTGTGACCCAGGACCTCATGACATGTTGAAGTGATTGCCTCTTTGATCCCCTTCCAGTTGCTCTCCACAGTAGTTCCTTCTCCATTGAGTAGATCATGAAAGGCCTGGAACTTGTTGCTGAGGACTATCTTGAATTTGTTTAGTTTGTTAGTACCCTGAAGAAAGGCCGTATTGAACTTTTGTGATACTGTCTGCCCCGTTGTCCAGTGCTTCTTGAGTTTCAATTTCATCTTGGCGACCAGCAAGTGATGATCTGATGCTATATCAGCTCCTCTCTTGGTTCTCACGTCCTCTATAGTCCTCCTGAACGTTTTGTTGATGCAAATATGGTCGATTTGGTTTTGTGTAGAGTGATCCGGTGAAGTCCATGTGGTTTTGTGTATGCGTTTATGTGGGAATATGGTGCCGCCTATGACCAGCTTATTGAAGGCACATAGGTTTGCAAATCTCTCACCATTTTCGTTTCTTTCTCCCAGTCCGTGTCGTCCCATGATGTCTTCATATCCACTGTTGTCCGTTCCAACCTTGGCGTTGAAATCTCCCATCAGAATGGTCAGGTCCTTTGTTGGGCACTTCTCGACGATTGACTGCAGCTCATTGTAGAATTGATCTTTAGCGTCTTCATTGTAGTCGTTGGTAGGCGCATAGCATTGGATGATGTTCATTGAAATGCCCTCTTTCTTTGTTTTAAACGAGGCTTTGATGATCCTTGGTCCATGAGATTCCCATCCTATAAGTGCATTTTGCGCTTGTTTGGACAGCATCAATGCAACTCCTTGTGTATGTGGTGCATTTTCTTCTTTATGGCCGGAGTATAACAGGAGCTCTCCTGTAGTTAGTCGTTGTTGTCCAACTTGTGTCCAATGTGTTTCACTGATCCCAAGTACCTCTAGGTTGTATCTTCTCATTTCTGCAGCAATCTGGAAGGCTCTTCCAGTGTCCCACATTGTACGAACATTCCATGTACCTAAATAAATGGTCGCTCTGGTTGTCAGAAGGGGCATCGGCCTCGTAACTTCCGAAGGGATTCGGCTTTCATCATCGTCATCCCTTCGATAGATAATAATAACGATAGTGTAGGATGGAAAGTGCTGAATATTTAGAAATGAACTGATAGGTGATTTAGACATCTTGTCAGTAAAACAGTGGTCCTCATTGGGATGGAGTGACCATCAAGGTATATTGTGAGTTGATTAAGGCTGGACGGCGATCCAGAATTTTTAATAGCTCAATGCTTACCGCGATACGCAAGGGTCGTGGGACTGACCCGTTGTGGAATTTCGGGTGCGCGTTCTTGAGAATTTTCATACTAGAGCGAAACATTCGTCAAGAATTCCCTGATTTTCAACAGCTTGTCGTCTATTTACAGTTGGTGATAGAAGCCATCTCCACATATCACAAGTAATGATCACTAAATATCTTCAAAGTTCGTTATAACTCATCCTATTACAAACGTTACTAAAGCAAAAACATGAAATCACTTTTCTTGACAGGACTTCTAGTTTTACTTTTTTAGTTTAACTTAGTGGTTCGAATTATTTAACTCATGACATTACGTCTCCTTTCGTGGAAATTACATACTTTATATAAGTTTTTCGGCTTTCTATTAGTTTTGTAGAATATATAAACACCAATTCTAAAACTTGCAAACGACCGTAATAACAAGCCATTGGATACCGGTTCAGTAGTTGATTAAGCGCTCGCGCGCAAGACTGATAGGTCATAGGTTCGAAATTCGAGAGGCGGGGTCATGGATGCGCATTGCTAAGGAGTTATAGCGACTCACGTGCAAATGGGTTTATTTTCATTTAACCCAGTTAAGCCCTTTTTGTTAATTTATTTAGCGGACAAAGCCATCCGCGCTATAACAATTTATTGTATCCTTATTATTATTTTGAGCTTGTATGAAATACGTATGCTTGAATATTGATTACTGCCTACGCATTTATTCACTCTGCTAATCTTACCACTAACCGCTTATTCGATTCGATTACTCATTCATTTCACATGGTATATATATGTCCATGTTATTCATATTGAACACACAATCACTCACTCGCTCGCACGGTCTCGTCACGCTCTTGCTCTGGCTCTCGTTTGCTTGCTTGCCTTTCGGCACAACTCTCCTATGCTTGTTTAACACATCTGTACATTTGGATATATGTGTGTGGTTTCGCAATAAACGTAATCGACACTTCGTATTTGCCTTCTGATTAATATACCGTTGGTACGTTATATAGAACGGTTATCACGACGAACTGTATACGAAGTTTAAGGATTATATCAAATACCGACCACCACATAATTGGCGATCCCGACGCGCGAACACGAAACAATCTTGAACGACGTAATCCAATTCCTAAAATCCAACGTACTCGATTACAATTGTAACTATCATTTGGATTATAATTATAACTGGATTTATTATCTCATTATTTTAATTATACGTACATTATCTCACAAACATTATAGAACATAACGATAATATTCATAATAAACAGCGATATTTTTACAAACAATTGATATTTTGGTGCAATTTAGTAAGTCCGTTCTTTGTTATAAATTGTACCATTTGTTTTTATCATTGTTTTTATCGACTCACTTTTCTCTGTGACATTCGTGTACTTTTTTTATCTTTATGAATATGTCTTTAAGCAACGATACAATAGAACTTTCCCAAACGCCGTCCGTGAGGTCCATTAATGTAACTATTCCTCCTTTTAAGGTCACAGATCCTCAACTTTGGTTTACCAGACTTGAACATTACTTTGTAGCTAATCGTGTTCATACACAGCGAGATAAATTTGGCCACGCGAGCTCGCTACTTCCAGATGAAGTAGCAGATAATGTACGAGAGATTTTAATCAAGCCAGACATAGAAAAGCCATACGACGCATTAAAACAGGCAGTGATTAAAGCCGTCTCATTAAGCGACCGGCAAGCCATCGAACAGCTTCTCAGTCAAGTGCAGATAGGAGATAGGACACCATCGCAGTTAAAAAACTATATGAGAAGCGTAATCGGAGACAGAAAAGTAGATAAAAACATATTTTATCAGTTGTGGTTACGACGACTCCCAACGAACGTGCAGCAGATCCTTGCGGTTGAGGACAGCGATGTCGATATAGACAACATTGCTAAAATAGCCGATAGGATTTATGAAAGAATGAAACAAACGAGTCCGCAAGGGCATAGTACCACAATAGATGGACGAATCGATGCATTACAAAAGGAGATTAATGTTTTATGCCACAAGCTGATGAAACTAAATCAGAGCGATACGCAAAGAGGATGGTCACGAAGTAGATCGAGGGAAAGAAGTCGATCACGTTCTAGGAGACGCTCAGCTCCTATAATATGTTGGTACCATCAAACTTTCGGCGATAAAGCTCGAAACTGTAGATCACCATGTAAATTCAAACGAACACACCGATTGTCGATAACTGCCGCAACAACTACAACAGCTCCTAGGAACAGTCGTTTATTTTACGTTCAGGATAGAGTAACAGGCGCTCAATTCTTAGTGGATACGGGAGCAGAAGTAAGCGTCGTGCCTCCAGTAAGTAACGAAACACGAAATATCGATACAGCGCTAACGCTTAAGGCAGCAAATAAATCCGATATAAAAACATATGGCAAGCGAAAAGTAACCTTGAATTTCGGTCGTACTACCTCATTCCGCTGGGAATTCATTATCGCAGATGTATCCGTACCTATAATCGGTATTGATTTCTTAAAGAATTTTGACTTACTAGTGGATACCCGACGAAACCAGCTCGTGAACGGCGACCATTCAGTAGTGATAAGAGGAGTGACGACTGATCACGCATCCATGAATTTAGTAGTGTCAAAAGACAAAAACGAGCCATATAGATCGCTTCTAAACGAGTTTGCCGATCTGACGAAGGTATCATACGATAACAGAGATCTTAAACATACGGTACAGCACCATATTATAACGAAAGGTCCACCGACTAAATCAAGACCACGAAGGCTAGACCCGAAAAGGTTGAATGTCGCGAAACGATAGTTCGAAAAGTTGACGAAGCTTGGTATCATAAGACCTTCTAATAGTCCCTGGGCGTCCCCATTGCATATGGTTTCGAAGAAGAATGGGGAAATCAGGCCATGCGGAGACTATAGAGCCCTTAACAAGCAAACGATAGCAGACAGATATCCGATACCACATATCCACGATATTACTACCAATATGGAAGGTGCCACGATATTTTCGAAAATCGATCTCGTTCGAGCTTATTACCATATTCCCGTAGCGGCAGAAGATATATCTAAAACGGCTATAACTACTCCATTTGAGTTGTTCGAGTTTTTGCGAATGCCCTTCGGATTAACTAATGCAGCCCAAACCTTCCAAAGATTCATCGATCAGGTCGTCAGGGGATTGACAGGAGTTCACGCATATATCGATGATATACTAGTAGCTAGCTCTACCAGAGAAGAACATCTACAACATCTACGACAGTTGTTTACAAGACTTCAAGAACATGGCGTCACTATTAACGTGGAAAAGTGTGAATTTGGAAAGGAATCATTGCAATTCCTAGGTCATATGATAAATTCACATGGTATCATGCCAGTTCCGACAGAAGTTGCTGCTATTCGTAATTATCCGTTGCCCGATTCACAAAGAAAATTACGAAGATTCTTGGGGCTAATAAACTATTATAGACGATTTATCCCAAACTGCGCAGCAATAGTACAGCCATTGACGGACGCCTTGCGAGGACATACTCGAACATTCCGTCTTTCAGCGGATGCTATACAGGCTTTCGAGAACGCTAAGCGAGCGCTAAACGAGAAGATGATGTTGGTACGACGAAAGAACGAAGCGCCATTAGCAGTAATGACAGACGCATCGAACTTAGCAGTAGGAGCCGTTTTGCAGCAGTTTGTAAACGGTGCATGGGAGCCACTTTCATTTTTCTCGAAAAGATTAAATCCTACCCAAACAAGGTATAGTACGTTTGGACGAGAATTATTAGCAATCTACTTAGCAATAAAACACTTTCGTCATATGGTCGAAGGCATAAGTTTTACCGTCTATACAGACCACAAACCGCTAACGAAAGCATTAAGCGCAAAGCAAGACAATTATTCCTCGAGAGAGATCCGACAACTAGAGTTCATTTCACAGTTCACGTCCGACATACAGTACGTTAAAGGACAAGAAAACGATGTGGCTGACGCATTGTCACGAGCAACGATAAGCACACTTATGGCAAGTGGAATTGATTATAACGGTCTAGCAAAGTTGCAGGAGAGAGACATCGAGCTAAATAAACTCAGATCCGGTGGTTCAACATCATTAGTACTCTAAGAGGTGCAGTTTGGTAACACGAAAATAATTTGCGATACATCAACAGGCCGACCGCGACCATTCATCCCGAAAACGTTGCGACACAAAATATTCGAAAGCATGCACAACATGTCGCACCCAGGAATAAAAGCCACGATAAAGCTGATTAGTGAACGATTCGTATGGACAAACATGAATCACGATGTACGTAATTGGACACAAGCATGCATGAAGTGCCAAAAAGTTAAGGTACATCGTCATACTAGCTCTGCAGTAGGTCCGTTTTCGCACCCAGACACTAGATTTGAACATATACACATCGATATTGTAGGACCACTGCCCGTTTCAAATGGATACAACTATATCTTTACATGCATCGATAGGTTTACACGATGGCCGGTAGCAGTGCCGATAAAAGACACCTCAGCTGAAACGGTAGCTAAAACCCTAGTTGAAAATTGGATTTCTTACTACGGTGTACCAACGATTATCACAACGGATAGAGGAGCACAATTCGAAAGTCGACTCTTTCAGCAGCTTACTGAACTCCTCGGTATTAAACGAATCCGAACGACGTCGTACCATCCAATGGCAAACGGAATGGTTGAACGCCTACATAGGCAATTAAAAGCGTCCCTTACAGCCGTCATCGTTAACAACGATTGGTCTAATAAACTTCCCCTAGTAATGTTAGCCCTAAGAGCAACAATTAAACAAGACATGGGATGTTGTCCAGCCGAGTTAGTTTACGGAACTACTCTACGATTACCCGGAGAATTCTTCACTTCAAGTAAAAATGTCCCGACTGATGTAACCGGCTATGTGCAACGCCTGAGAAAGCACATGAGCGATTTAAAAATAACACCTCCCAGACCACAACAACGACGGGTATTCATACCACAGGAACTACATAACAGCTCTCACGTATTCATCAGAAGAGATAAAATACAACCACCTCTTCAACCGAGTTACGACGGACCATTTAAAGTGATAGAGAGGACAAATAAAACGGTTACCATAGAAAAAGCTGAGAAGACAGATGTAATTAGCATCGATCGAGTAAAGCCAGCTTTCATCGATAGCGATAATCAATCAACAAGTACAGACTCATCTAAGATGGTCATACCAGCGAAACACGAGTCCCAAAAATCAACAACGTTAACGCAACAAAAAGACAAGACTCCGATAACAACAAGGTCCGGCCACAGAGTAAGATGGCCCCAACATTATGTCGCTACAATTTTCTATTAATAATAATCTACTATCTGGAATATTAATTATAACTTCTACTTCATCGTATACACATGCATAATTCAGCTCATGTTATACGTTATAAAACTCAACGTATCTTATGTACCCTTACACTTATGCGTATAATTTTTGTTTAAAATGTAAAGACAATACCGCTTTCCTTCTATTTTTTGCTATTATTTTATGTAACCTCACGGACGGGCGCAAATCAAATGTACAGCACACAATAACTTCACCTTAATTTTGTATAAGCCATTTTTTCTACCCTATTCAGTCTACTATTTTTTTTATGCAAACACAGACATTTTCCATATATCTTTGTTTGCAGGGGGGAGCTATTATAGCGACTCACGTGCAAATGGGTTTATTTTCATTTAACCCAGTTAAGCCCTTTTTGTTAATTTATTTAGCGGACAAAGCCATCCGCGCTATAACAATTTATTGTATCCTTATTATTATTTTGAGCTTGTATGAAATACGTATGCTTGAATATTGATTACTGCCTACGCATTTATTCACTCTGCTAATCTTACCACTAACCGCTTATTCGATTCGATTACTCATTCATTTCACATGGTATATATATGTCCATGTTATTCATATTGAACACACAATCACTCACTCGCTCGCACGGTCTCGTCACGCTCTTGCTCTGGCTCTCGTTTGCTTGCTTGCCTTTCGGCACAACTCTCCTATGCTTGTTTAACACATCTGTACATTTGGATATATGTGTGTGGTTTCGCAATAAACGTAATCGACACTTCGTATTTGCCTTCTGATTAATATACCGTTGGTACGTTATATAGAACGGTTATCACGACGAACTGTATACGAAGTTTAAGGATTATATCAAATACCGACCACCACATAATTGGCGATCCCGACGCGCGAACACGAAACAATCTTGAACGACGTAATCCAATTCCTAAAATCCAACGTACTCGATTACAATTGTAACTATCATTTGGATTATAATTATAACTGGATTTATTATCTCATTATTTTAATTATACGTACATTATCTCACAAACATTATAGAACATAACGATAATATTCATAATAAACAGCGATATTTTTACAAACAATTGATATTTTGGTGCAATTTAGTAAGTCCGTTCTTTGTTATAAATTGTACCATTTGTTTTTATCATTGTTTTTATCGACTCACTTTTCTCTGTGACATTCGTGTACTTTTTTTATCTTTATGAATATGTCTTTAAGCAACGATACAATAGAACTTTCCCAAACGCCGTCCGTGAGGTCCATTAATGTAACTATTCCTCCTTTTAAGGTCACAGATCCTCAACTTTGGTTTACCAGACTTGAACATTACTTTGTAGCTAATCGTGTTCATACACAGCGAGATAAATTTGGCCACGCGAGCTCGCTACTTCCAGATGAAGTAGCAGATAATGTACGAGAGATTTTAATCAAGCCAGACATAGAAAAGCCATACGACGCATTAAAACAGGCAGTGATTAAAGCCGTCTCATTAAGCGACCGGCAAGCCATCGAACAGCTTCTCAGTCAAGTGCAGATAGGAGATAGGACACCATCGCAGTTAAAAAACTATATGAGAAGCGTAATCGGAGACAGAAAAGTAGATAAAAACATATTTTATCAGTTGTGGTTACGACGACTCCCAACGAACGTGCAGCAGATCCTTGCGGTTGAGGACAGCGATGTCGATATAGACAACATTGCTAAAATAGCCGATAGGATTTATGAAAGAATGAAACAAACGAGTCCGCAAGGGCATAGTACCACAATAGATGGACGAATCGATGCATTACAAAAGGAGATTAATGTTTTATGCCACAAGCTGATGAAACTAAATCAGAGCGATACGCAAAGAGGATGGTCACGAAGTAGATCGAGGGAAAGAAGTCGATCACGTTCTAGGAGACGCTCAGCTCCTATAATATGTTGGTACCATCAAACTTTCGGCGATAAAGCTCGAAACTGTAGATCACCATGTAAATTCAAACGAACACACCGATTGTCGATAACTGCCGCAACAACTACAACAGCTCCTAGGAACAGTCGTTTATTTTACGTTCAGGATAGAGTAACAGGCGCTCAATTCTTAGTGGATACGGGAGCAGAAGTAAGCGTCGTGCCTCCAGTAAGTAACGAAACACGAAATATCGATACAGCGCTAACGCTTAAGGCAGCAAATAAATCCGATATAAAAACATATGGCAAGCGAAAAGTAACCTTGAATTTCGGTCGTACTACCTCATTCCGCTGGGAATTCATTATCGCAGATGTATCCGTACCTATAATCGGTATTGATTTCTTAAAGAATTTTGACTTACTAGTGGATACCCGACGAAACCAGCTCGTGAACGGCGACCATTCAGTAGTGATAAGAGGAGTGACGACTGATCACGCATCCATGAATTTAGTAGTGTCAAAAGACAAAAACGAGCCATATAGATCGCTTCTAAACGAGTTTGCCGATCTGACGAAGGTATCATACGATAACAGAGATCTTAAACATACGGTACAGCACCATATTATAACGAAAGGTCCACCGACTAAATCAAGACCACGAAGGCTAGACCCGAAAAGGTTGAATGTCGCGAAACGATAGTTCGAAAAGTTGACGAAGCTTGGTATCATAAGACCTTCTAATAGTCCCTGGGCGTCCCCATTGCATATGGTTTCGAAGAAGAATGGGGAAATCAGGCCATGCGGAGACTATAGAGCCCTTAACAAGCAAACGATAGCAGACAGATATCCGATACCACATATCCACGATATTACTACCAATATGGAAGGTGCCACGATATTTTCGAAAATCGATCTCGTTCGAGCTTATTACCATATTCCCGTAGCGGCAGAAGATATATCTAAAACGGCTATAACTACTCCATTTGAGTTGTTCGAGTTTTTGCGAATGCCCTTCGGATTAACTAATGCAGCCCAAACCTTCCAAAGATTCATCGATCAGGTCGTCAGGGGATTGACAGGAGTTCACGCATATATCGATGATATACTAGTAGCTAGCTCTACCAGAGAAGAACATCTACAACATCTACGACAGTTGTTTACAAGACTTCAAGAACATGGCGTCACTATTAACGTGGAAAAGTGTGAATTTGGAAAGGAATCATTGCAATTCCTAGGTCATATGATAAATTCACATGGTATCATGCCAGTTCCGACAGAAGTTGCTGCTATTCGTAATTATCCGTTGCCCGATTCACAAAGAAAATTACGAAGATTCTTGGGGCTAATAAACTATTATAGACGATTTATCCCAAACTGCGCAGCAATAGTACAGCCATTGACGGACGCCTTGCGAGGACATACTCGAACATTCCGTCTTTCAGCGGATGCTATACAGGCTTTCGAGAACGCTAAGCGAGCGCTAAACGAGAAGATGATGTTGGTACGACGAAAGAACGAAGCGCCATTAGCAGTAATGACAGACGCATCGAACTTAGCAGTAGGAGCCGTTTTGCAGCAGTTTGTAAACGGTGCATGGGAGCCACTTTCATTTTTCTCGAAAAGATTAAATCCTACCCAAACAAGGTATAGTACGTTTGGACGAGAATTATTAGCAATCTACTTAGCAATAAAACACTTTCGTCATATGGTCGAAGGCATAAGTTTTACCGTCTATACAGACCACAAACCGCTAACGAAAGCATTAAGCGCAAAGCAAGACAATTATTCCTCGAGAGAGATCCGACAACTAGAGTTCATTTCACAGTTCACGTCCGACATACAGTACGTTAAAGGACAAGAAAACGATGTGGCTG